ACGAAGAGTAAAAAAGTAATTTGTTGTTGGCGGCAAAGATCCATATTGTTAGAAGTGTATTTAGTGCAAAGTATAATGATTTGAACATAAAAAAAAAATATTTGAACATAAAAAAAAATATATTCGATCATAAAAAAAAAAATAATTCGATCATAAAAAAAATTATGGTTTGATCATTATTTGATCGTAAAGTGCTTGAATAATCTCACTCAGCGCAGCTCTATAAAGAAAAAAGATGGTCACTAACCATCTTTTTTTTTGACTGCGGTGATAAACTCTCTTGACCGGCTGAGCAAATTTTCATTAATTAAAATTTATACACCGATATATTGATTGAGGCATTTGAGAGCACCCTAAATCTAGTACAATACTAAATCTAGTACAAGTAAACCCAATCCATTAACGGTTTAAATCATTTCGATTTTTTTTTTTTTATTGTAAATCGCCGTATACAAAACCCCATGATAGTAGACCCACCACATAGTATACCTGGATGCGAATCATGGGATTCATATTAATCAAACATGGTTTTATTCAAATACAGTGAAACCTCCATAAATGCACGCTCTTGAGACTGAACTTTAACAATGAGCATTTAGAGAAATAAGAAAAGTGCGTTTATAGAGGTCATGCATATATTTGGGCCAGAGGTTGAGCGTGTATTTAGAAAGGGTGTGCATTTGTAGAGGATGCATTTATAGAGGTTTCACTGTATTTTTATTTTGGTTCATCTGACAACTCTCGTTAGATTTTTGGAACCAGTTTTATTTAAAATCAATTAAAGCTAGTTTTAAAGTATGAAAAATAAAATTGGTTACAAACTCTAACAAAAATCTTGGAAGTTATTTTTTGATTACAGATTTTTGATAGATATATCTTTATTAACATTCGGAAAGCATAGTAGGCTAGGCGATTTTTATTATTTTACATTTAGCACAACAGATCAATCCCAATACTAAAATGAATAAGAAGGAATTCCTGTATTGTTCTTGGACTATCTTTACGTCCATGAATAGACTATCCATGGAATCTTATTACGCATATAAATAAGATTTTCTTCTCCCAAAATGTTTCCACCTTCAGCAGACTTTGAATACCATTCATAAGCTTTTCTATTATCAACAAAAGTACCTACACCATACTGATAACAATGTCCAAGATTATTTTGCCCTAAACTATCTCCTCCTACAGCGGATTTAGTAAAGCAATCAAAAGCTAGTCTTTCGTTTATTAAAGTCCCAATACCATCGCGATAACAACATCCAAGATTATTATATCCCATGGTATTTCCTCCATCTGCTGATTTCAAATACCATTCAAAGGCTTTCTTCTCATCTGGAGGAACCCCTGTACCACTGAAATAACATCCACCAACGTTATTTTGTGCCGAACTATTTCCACCTTCTGCTGATTTTAAATACCATTCAAAGGTTTTATTTTCATCAATAGAAGTACCTATACCATGTAGATAACAATAGCCGAGATTATCCTGTCCCAAGCTATTTCCTCCTTCGGCAGATTTTAAATACCACTCAAAAGCTTTATTTTCATTAACAGAAGTGCCTATACCATTTTGATAACAATAACCAAGATTATTTTGTCCTAAACTATCTCCTCCTTCTGCTGACTTAAAATACCATTCAAATGCAAGTCTTTCATTTATTAAAGTACCTATGCCATTCTGATAACAGTAGCCAAGATTATTATATGCCTGATAATTTTCATGTACGGCAGATTTTATATACCAGTTTAAAGCTTTTTCTTCATCTTTAGAAATACCTTCACCAAGTTCATAACAATTTCCAACATCATTTTGTGCTTTAGCATTTCCTTCTTTAGCAGATTCTAAAAACCAATCAAATGAATATGAAACATTTTTAATAACACCGATACCATGATAGTAACAATATCCAACATAATATTTTCCTAAACTTGAACCCTTAGATACTGATCTTAAAAATAAATTTAGAGCCTCTTGTTGATTTATTTTGACACCTCTTCCATCAATATAAAGTAAACCAAGAGAAATTAATCCAATAAGTTGATTCTCTTTTAATAACCTTTTTGATAAAAAATTGGTTGAAGAATCAGCGATAACATAATAAGAATCTTCAATTGCTTTTTTATACATATCATACGCCTTATAGTAATTAACAGTTGTTCCAATTCCGTGTTCATGAAAGAATCCAATAATGCTCATAAAGTAATAGTTATACTTATAATATTGATTAAAAATTTCTTCTGGACTTTCGTTATTATCATCTATATATTTTTTTAAACAATAGATTATAGAACTTATTGTATCTTTCGTCGCGCCACCTTGTGTATCAAATTGGGTTATAAAAAGTTGATTTAAATTATATAGAAAGTTCAACTCTTTATTATCCTCACTTATGCTAAATAAATATGATTGCAAAGAACTTGTTGAACTTAAGTTATTCTGATTATTAAATAATCCATCTTCATTTAAATCGCTTTGATTATTAGATAAGTCATCTTCGTTCAAGTTATTCAGATTAAATAAGTCATCTTCGTTTAAGTTATTTTGATTATTTACCAAGCTATTTTCATTTAAATATTTTTTAAGAGATGTAATCAGTAAGGAAATCAATTCTAATTCCTTTGTCGTTTTATCATAAAGATTATTATAATGCTTAAATAAATCTATTGTACTTAAATCGGATAATAGTTTATCTTCTTTATTCTCCACTTTTTTATCATATTCTGTTAACATTTCCTCTTTATCAATTACATTATTATAATTGATATCATTTATGCCATTAAAAACTTGTTGGATAGTTGGACGTTGATCTGAATCATGTTGCCAACATTCTAAAGCAAATAATATTAGTTAAAGTAGTTAGAATTGCACGTGTATACGGTTTATTTTGTAATTTAATTTACCTGTATATATTTTAATATATTTTTTAGGCGTTCCAAGGACTGCGTCTTCACGTTTACCATGAATGATTGAGTTTGATAAATTAAGACTATAAGCTGGTTCTGATTTAAATGGAATAATTCCACTTGAAATTTCCCATAAAAGAACTCCAGTGCTATATACATCTGAACTTTTATTAAGCTTGTACGTTTCAAAATTTTGTAAATATTGAGGATCGATATATTGAATATATTTAAACTTATTGAAAGTGTTCTGATGTTGAATAAAACAGATTTTAATATCCCCTTTATGAACAAATATCTTTTCTGAATTCTAAATAATTAATATATTAATTTTTAGTACGTAAATACTTAAAAAATTAAATAATTTAAAATACCGTAAATACAGTAAGTACCATATTCAAATGAATTAAATCATTATCGTGTAAACACTTTACAGCACTGATAAGTTGTGTTGCAAGGCGTAACTTATCATTCCAATTAATCTTACTAAAGCTTTGTTTTAGATATTGGCGAAGAGTTCCACCAAGTGCATATTCACGAATAAATATAACCTCATTCACATTTAGCTTAGCGATTGCTAAAAATTTTAACATATATTCACATAATTCCACTTTTCGGTATCGTTTTATCTAAATAAATAAGATATATTTGCATTAAATCTTTTTTTTTTACAAATAATAAATATAAATATTTATTAGAATAATATATATAAAAAAAAAAAAAAACTTTACATCGTTAGTAAAATCACTTAATGTATATTTTTGAGTAAAGATAACTTTGCGTAAAACTACGGCTATATTACATTTTGGTAATAAAACTTTACGGCTATTATTAGATAATCTAGTGCCATTAATTTTGAGTTTTTCAAAACTATTATATGGATGAAATCTAGTGAGGTATTGCTTCATCCATTTTTCTGATTCTAGATCCATGTTGGTAACATATTAATTGAAAGAAAATAGAATTACGTATAAAGGTTACGTTTCTGTACGTCGTACGCATGTCTGTACTATGAAGTATTAGTAATCGTCATGTGGCAGCGTTTATAACTATAGTTAGAATGTTACAGTAGTACGTACATTAAAAAATGGAATGATACGTATTCTGAGCAAAATTATTTACGTACATATTATCATTAGCAATAAGACATTATTCTTATGATTTCGTACGTATGTTAAACTCTATATTATGCACTTAATATCTAAATAATGAATATTAAACGTCTTCTAGAACCAAACAATTTTAAATTTATGTTTCTTGCATCTTAGATTTCAGGCTGACTATAAATTTTTGTAAATGTTAGAAAGAATTGTAGAACATCCCGATCTTTATTTACTAATTCTATCATTAAAATTACAGTTAGAAGTATTTAATTTTTATTATGACCTTTTTCCCTGTTAATGTAAATTCTATAAGAGCAAAGATTTATTCATACATAAGTTCTATGTATAATTTACTAATACAACCCGCATTTTTATTCTTAGCCACCTTAGAATTCATTGATCGTTTACAACCTTCATTATTTAAAAATCTGGCAGTATCAAAAATACATCTGTCAGTTTAGTCGCTTTTATTACGGATTATTCCCTGATAATTCAGTACGTAAAGTCGCGAAAAAAGCTCATTGGTGTTATTTTGGAATTTTCGCCCTTTAACGACGTCATATTTCGGTTTAAAATAACGTCCAGACGCGTCTCGAAATAACGCGTTATTTCGCAACTATACGGTAAGAATAGTTGTCCTTTTTTCCATTGACCTCTACAAGTTCAGAATATGATTTTTGTGTTATGGAAACTATTGAGTTTAAATTAAATACTTTATTTAAGTGTCGAAATATTGAAGCTTTTCAAATGTCTTCGTAAAGGAGATTTTGAGAAATTGTTGAATGTCCGAATATTAAGTCGATTTCGGAAAGTACATTGAATTTTACAGATGAATATTTACATAGTAAATTAATGAACATATGGTTATGGTTTGTTAAGAAATACTCATTGGGTATTTAAACGTTATTGTATGTTTAACTGTTCTGTTGTTGCGGGTACTTAAAACTTAGTTACCGTTTCAAAGTCAAGAGAATTTATTTAGTGACTTATAAATTACGTATTTTCTTGATTTCGTGATGTGTTGGCATTAAGAAAGTCGAACACAAGTAAGGCACCTTTAAGTAATGAATCAATTTCCGCGTGTCTTCTTCAAATTATCTCACCTAAAGAGACTTTCAGGTTTTTTTATGTTCATCGTCCGTGGGGTTTTGTCTTACATGGAGATTTCGTTTTTCAAGGGCGTATATTTCGTCTAACAACTGAAATCTAGCCTAACTCGTCGAGATTCTTGATCTTAGAGCGACTGACTCGTTTTTCTGATTTCAATATTTTGCAACTTTCACACGTGAATTCCGAAGGACCCTCAAAATAAATGAAATTAAAAGGACAAAAAGATCATTTATCACCAGAAGTACATGATAAAAAGTTTAAAAGTGAGAGATTTAATTGCCCATAATACCATATACTTTTATGATTTACCAGTAATTGGTTAAGGGATAAATTCAGTATTTAGATTAGATTACGTGTTTTTGATTTTAGTAACAGTAATCAATCAATCACCGAAAGTTATATTTCAAGGCCAAATTATTTAATAAAGGTATCGATATATGCGATAATACAACACATCTATCATTCAATTTTAATTAATAAAACAATAAAATGCTTTGATTATTTATAGTATTGTATTTCTATTTTTTTAAAAAACCAGTTTTCTGTAGCCATAATACTATATTCATATTTAAAGAAATAAAGTCATATCTATTAAATAAAAGTTAATAATATAATGTGAGAATAAACATACCTATGAGTTGTGTCGTGAATTTTAAACAAAATCAAGATCTAAATTAAATAAAGTTAAAAAAAAACCCCCACATAAATAATTTATTTATTCATTTTTTTGCTAATATATACTATTTCATACCATGATGTCAAACGCTTTAATACAAATAATTAGTTAGATATAATATAATAGTTAATGTATATGTAAGTCAACTTACCTATTTGTTCCTCTATTATTGAAGATAAAACGAAAAGCGTTAATACAATTGTTAATACAATTAAATATTGCTGTTGAGAAATTAAAATTAGCTTAAGCAAATTAGTTTAGTGGTAAAGAAACTTGCCGGATAAAATAAGTTTTGAGTTGATGCTTTTACAGTTATACAATCGACTAGTAAACACAGCTTGTTGGTGTATTTGTGAAAGTTTTGGTAATGTAGGAATTATTTTGTCAGCTGCTTTAAATTCTTCTACAAAATCTAACTCCATTTCCTCAAACATAGAATTATACCAATTATTCAAATTCGCTCTAATACTTTCTAGAGAAGGTCGGTTTGAAGGATCACCATCCATGCATTGTTACGCTAATTGAACGTAAAATTCAGGTGTTCCTTCAGCAAATGCTGGGCGTAAACCTTTAGTTATACTGATTAAAAGAGCCGTGTCGTGTGGAACATTATGATATGGAGATATACCAGTAGATAATTCAACCATTATTATACCTAAGCTATAAATATCGGCAGCTTGGCTATATTGTTGTCCAAGCAATACTTCTGGAGCAATGTATGGCAAGACCCCATAAATACCTTCTTCATCTGTTACATTAAATGGTCGAGTTAAACCAAAATCAGATACGTATGATACTGCATTTTTTGTAAAATATTGCCACTGTGAAGATCTTTATGTATATATCCTGTCTCAGGGATACTTTTCAAACTAGTAATTATATCTAATAAATGTTTCATTTTATTAACCCATTTAATTTGTTTAAAGTTTGCTTTAAGGTAACTTCGAAGATCCCCTTTGTTAGCAAATTGAGTTATCATCATAAATTCTTTTGTCTATGGGTTTTGAGTTAAACCATAAAACTTTAAGCAAAGAGCATTCATGGTAAATTTTAAACTGTTATAAAAGGGAAATAATGAAGTTTAAAATAAAACAAAATAAATAAAACAATAGTTATAAAAATAAATACGAATATATAAGTTACTTTACCTCTTGTAAAATAGCGTCTGAAATATTTTGAGAATTTGTTAAGTTTTTTAGTGCGGTGTATCTCTTAATGGTACAGAAAAATGACCATTTTCATCTTCATCTAAATATCTTAGCCCATCCAGCCAAGTAGCAGAGTATACAGTGCTAAAGCCTCCTTCTCCAATCTTTTTTACATTTTCAAACCTGTTGTAAGGGACCCATTCGATCACATCATAATACCTTTTTGTAGATAGCCACATTTCTTCGAAAAAATCACAAATAGCTTTGTTTCCAGGTCTAATAAACTCATTAATTAGTTTTTGAGGACTGCACGATTGACACCAAGCAAAATTTGTGTTGAATCTTTTACAAATTGAGCATGTTCCGTAATCATTATACACTTCAACCACATACGTATTTTTTCGAATTTCGTATGTTAATGGAATATCTTCTGGAATTTTAATGTCTTCATATTTTGTTTCTTGCAATTCTAATGGCTCAGTTGAATTATTTCGGGATTCCATTTTATAATATATAATTTTATAAGAATTAATCAAGAATTTTTAATACAGTATACTGTATATTTGAGCTTATACGCAACACATACGTCGTACGTACAGTACGTTATCTGATATCTGATATTGATACGTATATCGTGGCTAATGGCGGTCATACTTTCTTTTTTCTAAATATGGGGTAACTGTGCGACGCTGTCGTATGTTTCTCTTGGCAGCATTCTTAACGTAATACGTATATCATATATACGTATTAGTAATTGATCTGAGTTGGAGATCTGATGAAATTAGTTTCACTAATTTCACCACTCTAACTTTATTTCACCACATCTTTATACTATTTCATACTTGTACAATGAAGGATGTGTAACAGTGATTTCAGTGATTGTTTACGTTTCACATGATTTTTAGTTACAAAACCGGTGTAATCAAGCATGAATGAAAACACAAGTTCTTACAAATGTGGTCCTTAGTAGATTATATTCTTCAATTTACCCCTTATGCTGAATTAACTGGTGAATTGCATCCATTTGCTTCAATCATTGTCACATTTTTATTACTCTCTGTAGGTTATTTAATGGCTAATACTTTCTTGAGCAAGATTCTGGGAAAGAATAAGTTTCAGCCTAAAGGAAAGGTAGGCTTATTTTCGTTTAAAAAGAACGGCGAAAATACTGAATTATTATTTATTTGTTTTTTTTTTTATACAGTATATTAATTTTTTTATTATTCTATTTATAATTAGCATATTTATGTTACTGGTGGCAGTAAAGGACTTGGTAAGGAGTTTGCCAAGTTAATGGCTTCTAAAGGTGCGCATGTCACAATTTGTGCTAGAGGAAAAGGTGACTTGGATCTTGCTCTAGAAGAAATTAAAGAAGTAATTATTTATAATATTATGATTCTCTTTCTTTTTATTACATATATTGATATTTTAATACGATCTTAGGCAGCTCGGTCTTGTGATAATTATGAAAATTTGAAATTCAACGTAGTATCTGCTGACTTATCAAAATATGATGAATCTGTTCGTGCACTTGATGAAGTTTCGTCAAAGCATGATGGAAGAGTACCTGATGTAATTGTTTGCAACGCTGGTAATAATTAATTTAAAAAAAATATGAATTTGACTAATTAACTTATCGTTACAATGATAAATATTTAAATTTTCAATTGATTTTATTTATTTATAACTTTACAGGTCTTTCAATACCAGGTGTATTTATAGAACGTCCAATTGAAGAATTTGAGAAAACTATGCAGCTTAACTATTTCGGAGCCTTATATACCATCCATGTAAATTCAATTAAGTTAATTCACTTAATTAGTTAACACCCATATTTACTATTTTTGTATTAATATAGGAGGGTGTAAAACGCATGGCCCAACAAGGTGTAAAGGGCAAAATCGTTATGGTTAGTTCTGTAGCAGGACTTTGTGGTTTTATGGGATTTACTTCATATGCTCCAACAAAACATGCTCTTAGAGGTGATTATTAACTGTATTATGATGTGGGCGGTGCTAGGAAAAAGGGACGAATTTGGCAAAAAAATTTATTATCTCATGAACTACTGATCTTAATCATATGATTTTTAATAACATTCATCAAGACAAATTTTAATCAATAGTTCATTAATTAATTTTCTGTGCATATTATTTTTTTTGTCAAATTCGTCCTTTTTCCAGCACCAAGTCCATGTTATGTACAATCTATACGGAAACTTTGAATCTATTAATGCGCAGTAACTGCATAGTAACTACGTAGCTACGTTTAAATTTCATAGTAATTATGTAATTACTACGTCGTTACTATGCTGTTACTGCATATTAAGATATTAAAGTTTCTGTAAAGATATAATTATGATCAACTTATCGAAACTAATTGTTCTTAATAGGTTTGACTGAATGTTTGCGTCATGAACTAATTCTTTACGATATTAGTGTACACTGTTACTTTGCTGGTACAATTGATTCACCTGGTTATCAAGAAGAGGTATTATCACATTTCTATCAAATGAAATTACTATTTGGTTTTTATTAAACTTAATTCTTACTTAATATTATAGATGAAAACGAAACCAAAAATCTCTCAAGAAATCGAAGGTGATGATAAAATGACTCCAAAGGATGCTGCCAAAGCTTTGTATAAAGGTAATCAGAAAAAGAATTTATTTTTTCTTGGATATACAATGTTAATTATGATAATGCGCTAACTTATTAACTTATAACATAGGCATATGTAAAGGCAACGTTTTTATTACTTCTGACATTATTGGTGATGCAATTAGAGCTTCAACTTTGGGTACGACTAAATCATTTTTTTCCTATAATATTGTTGAAATTAAAGTTGAAATTATTTTATGTTCATATATTGTTTAATATAATATAGGAATTTCACCGGCAAATAACGCATTTACTGATGCTTTATTATGTGGCATTACTTGGGTTGGTTAATTATTAAAATTATAGTTTTATTATTAATGTGATTGTAATTAATTAACAAATCTTATGTTTCAATTTTATATCTTTAGTTGGTAATTAAACCTGTAAGATGGTATTTTGATAAAATGGTTCGCGATAATAAAACAGATTATCCTGTTGCTCCCGCTGATAATAAATAAGATTAATAAAATCTTTCTTGTTCTGGTGGTTTTTACTTTAGATAAATATTTATGATTACTTTAATATTACTAATTGGGTAATTGAATAATATTTATTCTGCATATGTACACATCACGAAGGGTCAAAAAAAAAAAAAAAAAGAGAGGAAAAGATATGTTTATTCTTATTTTAACATTTACATTTAATCTTACATAATTACTATAAGGTCAAATAGTTTGTGTAATAAAATACATGTGAGTTATAATCAATCTAGATTTAATTCTATAAATAATAAACAAATTGAGCTACTTTGTCTCTTTGAGTAAAATAAACGTATCATCTACTTATTAGAATACAATGTCGGCAATGATTAGTCCATAACGAAACCTAGTCATATGCCAACAGCTATACTTACAAATTTAAAATATAAATCGGTAAAATTTTAACAAGATATTATAGTCCTAATTTTATTATTGTGATAGAATTATTTCTCTGATAATTGATCTATAGTTAATATTGCCATAATTTACATTAATTATACAATCGTTGTGGGTTGTGAGTGTTAGTAACTCGTAAGGTGGGAGAAATATATTTAAATATCATTTTACCGTGTTAATAAAATTATAATCCATCCCAAGTTTCTAAATATGGATTAATAATAAACTGATTATCTTAATTAATGTCCCAAAGTTGCGACTAGAGTTAAGCTGTCATTAACTTGAATTGGCCCAAAAAAGTCGCAACAATGTTCATAACTCGAATAACTTATGTTAAATGCTTAGATTATAAAAAATTCTTTAGATTCACAAAATTAATACGAACAAAGAGAATTAAATGTATATATTTATCAATAGATTATTTTAGACACTCGTATTAATGAGCGTTATTTATACTCATAATTCAACTAAGATATTTTAAGGGGAATTTACATATAAGGGCCCGAAAAATGAAAATAATTACACTCAGAGCCTTTCATGTAAAAATTATAACCACTTTTGCCGATTTTTAAAAGTATTTAACTTAACTTATCCGGTTCTAAATATCTACGATTAATGCATAGTAACCTTCACAAAATATTGATTCACTAGTTTGGTACACTATAATATCAATATAGATCGTATTTAACCTAGTTGAATGGTTTCTTGGTTAAAAGAAAGTTCATTAAATACAAAATGTATAAATCAATACTTATATACGTTCGAAGAACCACTATCAACATAACGCAAAGTTGTTTTGGCCTTTGATTGTCAAACTTTTCAAAATTTGGGCCTTTATATGTAATTATTTCACTTTGGGTCCTTATTTGTAATTATTTTCATTTTTCGGGCCCTTATATGTAAATTCCCCCATATTTTAATTAAGACGATTGCTATTTGTACACCATGTGTAGGCTATAGCACAGCATCCGGCGTACATGTTATCTCACCCGGCACTCTCTCCGATCACGCCCGTTACACATAGCAAATGTCACACTTTGCGAA